AAAAAGTAATTTCATGCTCCGAAAAGAACTTTTCTATATTTCAAAGGCTTGGAACCCAGAACCATCACTCCATAATCTTATCCAAATGTTGATGTCGTCAATGCATTTTAAAGCAGCTTTTAATTAAGTTAAATAAAGAAAACAGATGCTGCTGAAGAAATGCCCAGTAAGAATTTCTATTTCTAGATAAAACTGCTTTAAATGCATAAGTAATTCTGCTAACTGTGGGATGTGATGCACACAACTAAGTGGATAGGTGTTTAGTGAGACTTGTGTGCCATTTTGTGTGTCATCATGAGCAGTCAGCACAGAGATAATGATGTAAAATATATAAGAATTGGCCTATAGCCTCCACTTTTAATTAGGAAAAGTAAACAAATTGCATAAATCAAAGCCAGTAGCATTTACTCTGGGCTACAACAGCATTTACTTTCCTTTAAAAGGAGTTTTATCTGCCCAAACCAAAACGGTTTTCCTTCAGTTTTCTTAGCTCAGAGAAGCATGCACACAAAATACCCATTCTGACAACAGCTCCTGTATTTAAACTCCTGCAGTCAGTGGTGCTGTAACCCAAATCTCACCCAGGCCACAATGTGGTCTTAAAGCTAAATGGTATCGGTGTGGAAATCAGCAGCAGAGAGAGCAAGAGTAAAAATTAGGTCAGTCTAATTGAATTGCAGTAGTTTGTCTGAAAGCCACCTTTGCTACCCACTTTGAATGGGCTTTAGAGACCACATTAGGGAAATGGTTTGTTTGTGTTTTTTTTCAAAATCTTCATCTTGGTTCTTTCCTGCTTTGCTCAGAGGATTCTCTACTGATACATTCTCCTGGGCCTTCACTTGGCTTCAGGCTGCAAATATTGCTATTATTGAAGCTAGAACTTGAAAATGGACCTGAAGTTACCTTTGGCAAGTTTTTGTGCACCTTTTAGACCATTATGTGTACATTAAGATTTATCATAAACATCTAGATTTCCCAACCAGAAGAGCTACCTACTGCAGGTTGGTCCTGGTCTGTTGTATGCAGCACGTAGCCCAGGAGGAGACTGAGGGAAGAGCTGTCGACTGCTTTGGTGATACTGCTTTCTGGCCTTTGGGGACAGCTGCTCTTTCTACCTGGAGGGGGAAAAAAAAATGATAAAAACTAACTTTGGCAACGTAGGGCTTTCCAAGCACTCACCACAGCAACAAGGAACATATGTACACACATAGCAAAAGTGATCAGGAAAGCCTGCTCCCAAGGCTGTGTTTGATAGCACTGAATCCTTAAAATGGCAGCTGAAGTGCCGCTACCCCACAACGCTTCGCTCCTCAGCTACGTCAGTGCGATATTCACACCACTGGGAACTGTAGGAACAAGTCCCACTCCGAAGCTGGGGCCTTAAAGGCTGCATATGTTACCCAAATATATGAATGAAAGCTGAGCACAGCGGGCTGCTTCCAGCCACCCATCTACATAACGCCAGTTATCTCAAATATTGCGCTAGGAGAGTCGTGTTTAGCTCAGAACATTTTGTTACAACGTCTGCTCACACAGGAGACACCATTCCTGAGAGTTCCCCCATTTCCCTGGCCTTCAGCACAGTGTGTTTCTTACCTCTATTAGCACAATCTTCGCTGCTAAGCCATTTATGTAAGTTAGTATCTGACTGCATCTCTAATCTTCTGACTGACAGGATTATAGACATTATGTGTTTACTTAAGGGATTTTTCTACTTATGGAATCAGTCTGCAATCTTCTCACTGTCTAAATTATAACCCAGGATTTAGTGCCATCCATTTCCACATCCTCAGAAATGTGAACGGAGGGAAATCCCATTTCCACAGGAGGCTCCCCATGGCTCTTTGCCTGCCGAAGAGCTTATGACAGTACGTTCGCTCTTCGGAAACCTTCGGAATTTTTGTAGCTAAATTAGATTCTGCTTTGTCACCACCGCCTGAAAATAGTCAGAGGCTGGGGGATGACTGGGTGTCTGGGAGTACTGCTTGCAAAAAGCCAGGTCCTGAGCAAGATAGCTGCAACCCAGATCAAAGCTGGCAAGGCTGGCTAATCACACGGACACGTTTGCACCCGGCAGTACCAGACAATATTAATGAAGGCAGTGGAAAAAGGCAAAGCAGGCAGTGTACCTACCTCCCCTTCTCCCCAGCCAGTAAGATCCATAATCTGTTGCAAGAATGTAGAGGACGCAAGCAAGCAAGGAGAAGATCTGCAGCAGATCCGCGCAGAGGGACTGCAGAGCCATGGCAGAGCATGCAGCATGAAGGTTAAGCTGCCATAAATTTGGGTGCACCTTAACGTGTGCTGTGGACTTTGTTAGAAAAGAGTAGAAGAAACACAGACACTTCCATCTTTCCTTACTCTGAAAATGGGCCTTATCAATAATGAGAGGAGACCAACAGCAGGAAAAACTATTTCCTTTTTCAGCCATCCTTGTGAAGGATCCCAGAGCATGCAACGCAGCCTTTCCAGGCAGTTGTGCTGATAAAATTGGGTTGATGAAGCTTTTCCACCTTGAAGTGCTGCCAGGTATAGCTGTAATGCTAACTTCAGAAATGGCTAAAGTCTTTTGGTTAAAGCTGCTATATATAGACAGAAAACTAAAATATTTATTCTACAGTTAGATGAAAAAATGCTCTCTTATAACAAACACAAAGACCTGGTGTTTGGCTTTCTTCGTGAACATTTCACAGAATCACCAATGTCAGGGGCTGGCCAGTACAGTCCTAAGTGTGTTTAAACACTTAACCTTAGTGATGAAGTCGCATTTTGTGACTGAAACTTGTTATGGATGTTCTTGTTTTGGCAAGAGTGTTTAAAAACTGAGAGTTGTGAATCTTTTCAAGGTATGTCAGAGAAAGGAAGAGAGGTCTGAGTTTTTTTTCCTGATTAAAATGTGCAGCAGATTGCACTCAACACTCGCTCTGAATCCTAAATTCCACATAAATATTCATAAATGCACTCATCGCAGGTCTGGTAATCTTGTTCTGAAACTTACAGGCCTGATTCTCCTCAAATCCCCAGTCAGGTCCTGCCCCCAAACCCTAGATTTAAGGAAGACAAAGACCAAACAGCTAGGACTGATGCTGTTAGCACGACATCTCAGGGTTCAAGTCATCAGAGCAGAGCGCATGCCATTCTGCTCCCAGAGCTACCAGGGTATTCTCACACCTGTAGACAACCCAGGGAATAAAAGGCAACATTCAACCATTTTCCTCTATTTTCAGGCTTATTTTTCAGTGTTTGAATAAAGCACCATTGTTTTTCAAATGTGTTTGCTAGGAGATTAACTCAGCCTCTCAGAAACATCCACACTAGCCAAAACCACCAACCTGTATAGGTCAAATAATGCTCTGAAAAACTGTTTCTTCCAAAAAAAAGCTGTGTTTTGTAGTGTATATTTTTCAAAGTTCTCTAGGTGCCTCGAGAGAGGCAATGAAAACATATACTGCATTGTAGACTAAAGGGATAATATGAAATCCCTTTATATAATGTAGGGTTATATAATATAAATACCAGGAAACACCCAAACAGATCAAAAAAGGGCCTAATTCAAAATCGAGCAAACAAAATTATTCTTCTGGCATAGCTAGCCTGGGCAATTGGTATCTATACATTTATGTCTGAGGGAAAAGAATATAATAAGGTTTCTAGGGAAAACCACAGACTAATGCTACAACAGGGAGTATGACCGAGTCAAATGTAAGCTTAAAAAAGATTGATCTTTTAGAAGGATGAAAGTCTTCAAGCTCAAGAGACGTAAGCCACGTTTGATGGATGTAAAAGTTGCACCATAGCAGCTCCCTGACAGGCATTTTCGCAACTTCTTCTGAGGTATCTGATGCTCACTACAGGACTGAACTTGAGTCTGATCAAGTTCGACAGTTTCTGTGTCTCTTTACACGTAACAAGAATTAAAAATACAAGAAAAAGCAAACAGTACAGTCAGAGAGATTCCTGATGATCCACTTCATGGACAACTTAGGGTAAGCTTTTGGGTTTGTTTGCTTAACAAAGTGGTAGGATATATCTACATGATTTTCAAAAATAATTTAATTCCCAATCATGCAAAGCAGCCAAAGCCCAGCTTTTGTTGTCCCCACAGTGTTCTGCAGCAGCCAGTACCGATGCCTTTGTTGAGCAGAGCTCGGGTGGAACCACGGCAGTGCCACATCCAACCTGCTGCTCCTTTGTGGCTCCGATCTGGGTGCCCAAAGAACAAGGATTTGCTGCAGTCATTGGCTTGCCACCTGCCTGAGGCATTCAACTGTGTCTAGCACAATGATGCTGGGAGGCATTCATGAGTAAATACACAATAACATTTGTATGTTTACAGCATCTGTGAAAGGTGTGGAGGGGGTGACTACTGTGTGTTTCCAGAGCAAGTCAAACCCATTAATTAAATTCATGCCCTTGCCTTGTTTCAAAAGGAAAAACACAGCTGATTTATGGGCACTGACAGCTGCAGGAACCAGGAGCTGGCTTTGCTCTTTCTGCCCTGAATTAATTTTTAAGCATCTGGGTAGGTTGATTTGTCAGATTCTGATCATAGGAAAGGCTGTGCATGTCCTCATCTTCTAGAAAGAAAAGGAAGGTACTCCACACAGCTCCACACACTCTGTCCCACTGACACGGCTTCTTCATGCTGCCTCAATAGTACCTGCAGGAGCTGGGTACCCAAACATCTCTGTGCCCAAGCAACTATGATGAAGCTCTCAAAGGTCCCATTCAAAAGCTATCACTTACCTACTCATTATTTTGCTCATCTTGACAGTAACTTTAAAATGAGAAACAAATGGTATCTGAGAAAAAGCGTAATCTATTGCAACAATGACAAAAATTATCTTGTTAAAAACAGACCCAGATAAGTTGCCACAAATAGAACAGAACCAGACCTTTTTCTAGAGGGAAGATGAATGTCTCTGTATTGCCACAGCACATAAAATACACGCCAATACCGATATCCAGCAAGACCTCAGTATGTTCTTTTATTCTTTCAGGTTCTTTAAAGAGGAGACAGATTGCTAGCATTTTGGGCTGAAATCTGGAGGTAAGGAACTGGAACGCAAAATTTAACACCCAATCTAAGAACAGGAAATTTTTATAGGAAGGGAAAACCTCAGATGCTGAACTTTCACCCCAGACTTCTGCGAGGTCTTTGCTAACAAAGAACTACACAAACATAGACGGAGTTTATTGATGCCACACCACCTGCCCAGTGTTTGCTGCTGTCGTGGACACTGCCAATAAAGATCAAAGCTTTCCCTGCATTAACGAGGTAAACGTAGGTGTTGCATGTTCTGCAGAAAGCTGTAGACCTAGGTTGACCTCTGCTGAGTAAAGTTCGGGCCAGATGAACTCCAGAGGTTCTTTCCAATGAAGTAGTTTATGATTCTGTATGACACTTCATGAAACAGAAATTTATTTTGTTGTGATTCATGGTCCAAGAAGCAGAAAACCTTGTATGACACATACCACCATGTGAAACAACTCATGATCATTACTTGCCAGGAAGAGATAGAACACAGTAGCCAGCATGATCTGCAAAAGCAGTAGAACAAATGGAACATCAAAATCTCTCTTTGCACCAGAGATCTAAAGCGGCCTCACTAAAAGATAGCTACAGCTAAGACCTGTATCTGGACACCAATAGACTCGTGATAATGGACTACAAAGATCAATTAAACAGACAGCACCGTCCTAAGCTGTCTTAGCTAATGGAAAGGTGATAATTCTCCAGAAATCCCCATGCTTATTTGAATGCACCACTTCTTACCATTCAACACGCTAGCAGTTTATGACCAAATGAGCAAAACTCAACCCGTCCTGCTGGCAACTGGAAGCTCAGCCCATGCACCCAGGAAATGGCAAGACCGCAGGGCTCTTCTGGAAGACTTTTTCTATTTTCGGCCTATCTTCTGTTGTGGATCAAGATATCTCCTCTCATCAGCTTGTTTTTGCTACTTGGGAAACAGCTTTTCTGTTACTGCTCAGGTTCTCCACAAATCAAGCAGATCCTCTTCAGATCTCAGAAAATTATTAAAACGTGCTCATTTACATGTTAACTGATGCATGGCATCTCACCTGTTTACATATTTTATGTTTTCAGTGACACATTTCATATTTATAAGGAACACAATGACAGCATTCAGGAACTAGTGTACTGACAAATACATTAAAAGCCTTGAAAACATTTTTGAATGCAAGAAAGATTGCAAAAAATAGCTAACCTCAACCCAATTTGACTTCTTAAGAGTTTTTTGTAAGAAGACCAACTACTCATTTCTCTCCTTCTTCAGTTTCCCTAGTAAGCCAAGACATTCAGTTTTCTACATTTTTAGTGTTCCTCGTCCCTACTCCCTAGCTCCCTCTCCCTCGGGGAGAAGTGTGCAGTCCCACAGTTGAAAGGCTGTTTCTAGACTCCAAGCATTCACAGGAACAATCTAGGGTTTTCAAATTCAGCTTTGATTTCACAACATTTCTCCCTCTCATTATCTTGCAACAGACTCTCAAAGGCTTTGATTCCACTCCTAGCAAGGTCAGCCACAGTTTTACCATGAACAAGCAGCGGGTCTATATTTCATCCCTCATACGAAACCCATCTCAGCTTGTCTTCAGGAAAGAGCACATTAATACAACCATATGTAAATAATTATAGAGAAACACATGGGCAGAAACACAAAGAATGCATGTAAATCAGAGGTTCGTTCCACTGAACTTTGAATTGAGATGACGAGTAGAAATGATCAAAAAGGTCCCCCTAAAAGCTATTGGAGTTTGCAGCAGAGAAAATATTTGAACAATACGACAAAGGCACACAGGGGGCAGGACCAAGGCTAACAGAGTAGGGAAGGAAACTGTGAGGGGGATGCAAGTCTCAGGGCATAAATTAAAACCACGGATGACAGCTGAACTTTTTTTCAGAAACTGCTGGGGACAGCACTGAGTTCTATTACTTCTGACCAACAAAAGAAAAGAAGAAATGTCTACAGTCAGCTGAGCTCCAGATCAGCTTGGAGGAGCAGGTTATGGCTTCTGGAAAGAATAAGTCAAAGCCTGTCTTGCTGTTCTGAGTAACACAGACATTGCTTCTCTTTGATCCGTAGGGTGAGGGGGGCTCTTTTCTTATGAAAAGCATTGACTGGCTTCACACAACATTTTACAGCACAGGACCTGTGCATGGTGCTTGAAGACTTCACGCTGGGAGCTCCTAATGGAGTGGGAAAGTATGTAGATCGGAGAAACAGCTGTCCAGCATTTAAAAATGTAACTTTATTAAACATTAAGAATAATAAAATTTTAAAAACAAGCTTATCAGAAGATCCGACTGCAGAACTAGAAGGTAGATCTGGAAAAACTGCTCACAGCACCCAAAATGTTAACTTTGTCCAGCAAAAAGCCTGCTCAGGATCAGAAGCACACCCAGGGGCTATGCCAAAACAGGCCTAGGGTATTGCAATTGAGTTTGACTACATGACTTTGAAATAGCTTGTTTTCAGCAACCAAACAAAATGGAAAATGCAAATAGCTTCTACAACATAAGTGCAGAGAGCCTAATGATTTTGTTTAAATTCCAGGTTATTGGGGAATGTGAAAGCTCCTTGCTGCTTGGGTCCATGACAAACACGCAGATGCGATTCATGCGCTGGAACAACCCGCACCACCATGGTAAGCCGTGCTCCAACATCTGGGGCCCAGGTCATTTGTAGTTGTGTCCTGCAACGTATTGGAGTGAGTGGGTGTGTGAGGCTTTGTGCTTCTCTCCCAGAAACAATAATATGAAAAGTATTAAACAATGTAAGAGAGCAGGATGTGGCGACATTCCTTGATTTATGAACACTGTTATACACATCAGACAAGTATTAAGTTTCCAAGAATATCTCAAAAGGGATGTTGCTAAGCAAAGATGATGGTAAAAAAGAGTAGTTAGTTAAGATGTCTGAGTGTAATTTGCAGGAACAAGAACCATTTTCCAAGCTATCACTACGTAAAAGAGGAGAAAGCTCCAAATACAATGAAAAGAGGATATTTTTAACTCATGTTTCGGTATAAACATAGACTGGTTTATGTCTGATCCTGGCTGACATGGAAAATGAACTACTGATTCACTTGAAATCCTGCCTTGCACATTTTATTCCATTAAGCATCCAGCATTTGATGCTGAGCTTTCAGCACATTTTTAACATTATAAGCAGCTTCAGTAATTCATTCCTTAAAACAAACAAACAACTCCATGTTTAGATCAAAAACCAGTGACACACATCACAGTGAAATCAGTTATCACTTGACGATATAATGGGTAAGCTTACAAGTTATAGCTGTTGGTAAATTGTATCAGCTCTCCTTTTTGGCATTTTCCTTTTCTAGGGAATTTTAGAAACGTATTTCTTAGTAGACTTAAAATAAACACACAAAACCCAATTAAAAATTAATGAAAACCCTATAGCTGACCTACTATTTCAAAATTTGTTCAACAGACAAAAGCAATTCACAGGGGATAAGAATGCTCTGTAAGACTGAGTTAAACAGGATACATCTTTTGCCTTTGTTAAATAAAATCTGCATCCTCTCAACATGTGGCAAGAGGCCATGGATTTTGCTTTTCATTTTTGCAGGGATTTTTGCTTTCATTTAGGGCATGGCTTACACAAAGCAAATAACGACATCGAGACAAAATTACACTGCAAGAAAGATTAATTAGAGAACAGAACAAAAAACTAAATGGAATAAACTACTTCGTAATTCATGATGACAGCTATATCAAACAAGAATGTAATTAAGGTAAAAAGAGACAAGAAGACCACCAGAAAAAAGTCACACAAAGATAGGAAGACACAATGCCTCAGTCTTCATAAGCTTTATTTTTTACTCCACCTAAAGTACCAACAACACCTTTAGCAGATGCACAGAAACCCTCTCAGCCCTTTGCAACACTATAATGAGATGGAATAGCGCCATAAATCTCCAAAGTGCTGCACAAACATTAAGCTCTGAGAAGGATGTGAAATGGTAGCATACAAGACAAGTTAAGTGGCTCGCTGTAGGGCAACAGAGCTGAGCAATGAATCAAAAGTGCTCAGGCTCTCCTTAGCAATGACTCAGAGCAGATATCGGGGCCACCTCAATTTGGTCCCAAATCACAAGCTGCTGAATTCGGCAGAGAGCATTTAGTTTTCAGCCATATTTCAGAGCTCTGCTGAAAGGGATCTCAAAGCCTTTGGAAGCCTCCCTCCTGGTGGTACAAGCATAACTACCTGGAGTTAAAGCTTGTAACGTAAGCTGCATTGAGATTTTTCAAGTTATTGCTACCAAGGCAGAGAGGTGCTAAGGATGAAAGGAAGCACATAGCAAAAGTTCTGAACCCACAGAAAAATACATTGTCCATTTCACAGATCTGATCCTGACTTGGTGATTAATGATTGTTACAGGTTTGCGTGCACACACACAGCCATGTGGGCATATGTCCACATTCCCTTCCCTAACAAGAAACACACCAAACAAAAAATAATATTTTTAAAGGAGAAAAAGCATCCACACCATTTCAGTTTAACTCTATCGCTATCTCTCAAATTTATCTCTCTCTAAATCCATAATAGAAAACATTTTACTGAAATTTCTATTTAGCCTGGGGCACATGTATCTGAAAGAACAATAGCTTTACCAGAAACCTTGAACACTGGTGCAATGCCAGAGGCTTTTCTTAAATTTCAAAGTTCATGAAAATCTGAAGGAGAACCTTCTAACAAGGATACTGCAGTTTTAGTTGATACTATAAATACCCTGGCTGCCAGCAAAGAAAAAAGAATTCCCACGATATTTGAAGATTTGCTAAGTTTATTGTTGTTATTATAAATGTAAACATTTTACATGAGCCCTAATCCACTGGAGCAGGCAAGCCCATGCTCACTTTAAGCAGGTTAGCATTCCAGTTCAGCTCAAGGGGATGAGTATATTACTCAAGCGATTAGTTTGGTCATTGTGTAAATTAAGAAATTACAATGGCATGAAGAGGAGGATGTTATATTTCCACACTGTTTGTGGCAGGCAACCTGTTCCTCAGAACATCCTACTTGTGCAGACACACCAAGAAACCATTCTCAAAGCGCTGCTTTACTATTGCAGGATGAAGATATCTAAACCAAACCTTTCCAGCAGTCGATGGAGTACAATCTGAAAGGTAAGACTTATTTTTTATTCTTCTTGTGTAGCTTTAAGACTTACTGGTCATTCACTGTTGTAACTTCAGCGCTCCACAAAGGAGGACATCACCAGATTATTCTTCTCTCTGCAGTACCTAACGATGATGCTTTGCAGCTATAGGCACTGGTGACAGAGCAGGTTCTGAACTGTTTCTTTCCAGCCTTTAATATTTCTGTTGTAACAAGTGACAGATTTTCACTTTGAAGTTCAGAAAAAGTTAAACACCATAAAAAGGAAATACGGGAACACAACGTTGACAGGTCAGTTAACACAGGTGAAAAAGGAGGAAGGAGAAAAAGCAGAAAGGGAGGCAAAAGGTGATGGGAAGAACTAAGTAGTGCAGTGTGGGAAAGAAAGAGGGGAATTTGGGGAAAGAGAACAAACTGGAAAACAAGAGAATTGATTTGGCTGAAGAGGGAAAGCACGCTGACTTCTAGCAGCCGCCTTTCAAAGAGCTGCAGGTTATTCCATCAAATGGTCAAACCCAATATCCTGACAATTTAAAGCAAAGCTCCTTGAACCATTTGTTGTTGTTGGGTTTAGGGTGTTTTTGTTAGTTTGTTTCATTTTACTAGAAGAGAACCACTGAGTCATGCTAACTGCTTAGGGCTTTATCCAATTCTCTTTGTATTAAGCAAGGCTGATGTTCAGAACAGTATAGCCCCACTACAACACCTGCCACTAGCAATACCTCGGATGATGTAAACAAACCAGAAGCATTTGAAATATTCAGGGCAAAATAATTCTGGGGACTCAAAGCTACAATTGAATACCACAGCTGAGATCACATATCCTACCTGGCCTCGATCAAGCCTAAAGGCATATATGCAGTATCTATTTGAAGCAATCTCCATAGGCATTTGAGCCCACTTTCAGAATATTGTTCCCTCATGTAAACATGCACAACACGATTGAAGGATAAAGGCCTGCTAAATTCCTTCAGTGTCTCTTCATGTCCACTACCAAAACAAAAAGGAAAAAGAAGCAGTGAGCTTATCAACTAAGCTGCTTGCAAACAAAAAAAAAAAAAAAGCTTTTGATAAGCCAAGATGCCAAAATTGCATATAAATTAACTTGTACCATTAAGTGCACTTACTTTTAGTAATTTTCATAAATTTTATATTTTTCTTCTTTCAGCTTACAAGAATTTTATGAAATCTAAAACACGAGGTCTCCACTTTCTCATCTTTTTCCTCTTTCTCTGTTCTCCAAGTGTTTCCCAGACCACCTGAAGGCTCAAAGTCTTACAAAATTTGTTTTTGAAGGTTCTGCTATTGGTAGCCCCACTATTGCTGCAGAAGGCCCTGTTTTTATGGTCACAAAGCAAATAGTGCAACGGCTTCCAGCAGACAAAGGCTGAAATCTAAGATCCCGGAGCTGGATTCACAGTAATGTACGGTGTGCTGCTGTGCTGCAAGCTAGTGGCAGCTATGTGGCAGTGTCATAGCACAATCACATAATATAGCTGGGAACCAGCCTGGCCTGCCAAGTTGTTCTCACAGACCTCATCCTGTGGCAATAGGCTTTAGCCATCACACTCACTGTCCGATATTTTCCAGTTTCCTAATGTCCAAAGTAGAATTTTCTCATTGATTTCAGTATCCATATGATCGACATAATAAAAATGAAATTGTTCCAGAAGGTACAAAACAGAGCGAAATAAATACTCACTTGAGAATCAATCCACATCTAGAAAATACTTCCATATGTAAACAGGCTCAAAGTCTTTGGCTGACTCTGCAAATGGAAGTCTAAGGAAAAATGACTTCTGAGACAGAAGAGAAGAAAACAAGCAGCCCCACAGCCAGTTGTGCTGACATACAAGATTCAAGTCAAAGGATTTGTTTGCTTTCCTGTCAGTGCTGCAAAGGAAATCAAACTGTGCGCTTTCTGGTTCATTCAGCCCCAGAAGTAATAAATATTCTGAAAGGCAGGTTCTGCCCTTGTTTGCATTCTCCAGGTCCCCTCTGGTGAGGGTGCAGGAAGCTAAGGCCACATCACAGTCACAAAAGAACCAGGAGAGAATCTGCTTTGTATTCACATTACCACATGGATCCTGCGTCACTACAGGATCTTAGGGACTGCCATACCAGTTCAAACCAGCAACCTGAGTGACCAGCAGTGCCCTCATCTTCTGCTGAGTACCTGAGTTTTGCACTTCGGGGTGCTTCAGTCGCACATAGCGATTGAGATACCCTAGCTATGCCTCTTTAGGCACTCTAAATTCATCTGAGTTTCCTCAAGTCACATGCAGCCAAAAAGGGACATAGCCAAAGGACATAGCAAGTCTGTCAAGGGCCGGATACAACTTCAGCCCCTGACATACTTCATTTTCCCCAAAAGCACCTTTTCTGACCACAGCATCTGCCTTTCCTCAATTTCAACTAACTCTTATCTTTCACCAGGGGCAGCAATATCTTTCAGCTGTTACTGTCCTTAACAGATGCCTTTGGCATCTCTCAGCAACTGTTGAATTTTCTGTGCTCATATAATTTACCACAGCTTTTAATATACTGATGAAACAAGCAGCGTGTTTCTATTCTCTCCATCCATGCTTCTATCCTCTCTGTCTCTGAAGACCTAAACACATTGAGTCCTATAAAGTTTTTAAGCTTTCTTCTTTACTTCGTCTTCTATCCAGAGGCTGAAATTGCACTCCTCCACCTAACCCTGTACACAAAAATAGAAGCATCTGTAAGGAGGCTATCACAAGACCTTTAATTTAGGTCATTTCCTTATTATTTTAAAGATAGCTCTGATGAACCTACTGGGAGAGAAAGAAAAAAAAAAAAAAAAAGAAAAAAAAAAGTGGGAGGATAGGGGAGGACACCAAATTTTGAACTGTATGTAGCTTTAGGAAACAGTTCAGTTCTTAGCCGGGAAAAAAAAAGTCTAAAGAACAAGAGCACATATATTAAAACCTCGGTATTTCCAGTGACATAGACAACTAGTCCTAATTAGTCAGTGGAGAGACTCACCAAGATCTCTTTTGAAGGAGACCAAAAGGTCTCCACTGATTTCAGGGTAAAATTGCTTCTCTTGTCAGCATGCAGAACATGGATGCATGCAGGGCAAAAGGCTCATGGTCTTCAGGTTGTTCAGGCCGGGTCATTGAACAGGAAGGAAGTTAAATAGAATATCACCGAAGCAGGATACAGCAGTTAAAATTTCAGGTATTTGATCCTCCAGCTGATATGTCAAGGGGGAAACCACCTAGTGCAGTGCACGAAGGACAGGCCCTAGGTAACAGCTCAAAGTAAAGATATTTCTAGCAAGAACCAGGAAGCAGCCTCCTGTTTACCACCTTAAAATGTGTCAGCGAAACACCTCCTGCCAAGCTCATCTGGGCACTGTAAGGTAAGAAACTATTGGTATCAAGTCTCAGGAAAGGCTGCCCAGCCAAATACTCGATAGGACAGGGAGTCCAAGAGATAAAGGGTTATAATCAATGATCTTGAGGTCTCTTCCAACCTAGAAATTCTGTGATTCTGTGATAATCAAGCATCCACATGCGTGAAGGGACAAGGCACTTCAGCTGGGTTCCCCTAAGGGCTTCTCAGTTTGCTGTAAGCTGCCACTGTGCCAAATTTCCTGTGGCCTCAAACTCCATGTGGCTGCTGAGGCCACAAAGCCGGGCAGGTGCCTTAGGGCCTCATCTGGCTGAGACAAAGAGCACAATGTTCAGCCTAAAACACAGCCGCCACCGCAGCTTCCAGTCAAAACCACTGGGGAGGCTGTGATTATTTTACCTAGTATTCAAAGGATTAGCAAATTGCCTCACAAATTAGGAGCCCTGGTTACCTTTGACCCTCATTTTCAAAGTCACGTCCTTGACAGCATGTGAGGAAGGCTCAGGCCCTGCTTCTAGGGCTGCTCCTACGTTAAGAGTTTTAAAAAGAAGTTAGATACAACCAGGGATTTTCAGACCAAGGGCTGGAACCCCAGGCCCCGTTCTCCAAAGCGCATAGTTGCACAAAGCTTTCAGAGAGACACTTTAACATCCTGAAGGAGATCAGACTCCAGACACAGTCTCTCTCAGTTGCATAAAAATTGGCTACAGCTATTTTGAGGCTCCAGCTGTGTCCCTAAACAGTTTCTCTGCCGATTGCTTCTTTCACACGTACATGACCATCTGCTTATCACACCCAGTTTTTGCCTTGTCACACATTTAGACCACGCATCCCTTGGGAAACAGTGCATTCCTACGTCGGTGTCTGTACAATATGGCCCTAAATACGACTTGGGGTTTGGGCACCATTACAGAACAAATTAGTGTAATATATAAGATTAACGACTTTAAAGGACAGGAAACATGAACTTCGGTAACTTAAACACCAGACAGTGATGTAAGTTGGGGAAGAACAGATGCAGGGAATAAGCTTGGCTGAGGAGGAAATGAGTGTTTTTATGCTGCGAGCTATATTTGTTTTTCCTTTGTGCAAACTGGCTAATGATTGTGAGAGTTTCACCCTTTGCCCAACTCTTCCTTTTAATCACCAGAAATAAAACAAACATTTTCTGTGGTAAATAACAGCGGTAGGGAAGTGCTCTGTGACCCAGTGCTGCAAGCGACGAGGAACTAGCCAGAGAGAATGCATTTCCTCCTAAAGGTCATCTCAATATTTAAAATCAGTTGTGAGGAGGGTAACAGAAGAGAAAAAGGGCACATTGGGATCACCTCAAAGTCGTGCCCCACATGCACCGCGGGCCTGTACACCGCGTTAACAGGGGCCTCACGAAGAGCTCCACCTTTCCAGAGGAGTTTAAAGCAAAGCCCTGCGGCTACCACAGAGATCAGAGAATAAAGTTGTAAAAGAATGACCTCAAAGATGGTAGAGAGGAAGAAGAGGACTGACCTTGTCCCATTTTACAGGCCTCAAGTGATTCTCAAAGGCCAGGCACACCAGGGAGCTGAGAGAGGTGTGAGCAGGGCAGGGGCTGCCCACAGGCCTGCTGCTCCCAGCAGTGGGCACCCAC